GTGCTTGGATCAGTTTCATTCTTGTTTTAGCCACTAGGGGGCAGCCTTTTCGTTAACCTGCACTGAACCGTCGCTCAGCAGGCGGACCTTTATGTCTGCAGGCAGCCCTCGTCTGATCAGTTCATCTTTAATCTGCAGAAGAAAACATGAGATGAATGCGAGACACAGTCAGTGGTGAATTATAAAATATACTGAACAGAATCTGGTCTTTCTGAGTTTGCATGTTCTCCCTGTGCATGGTGGGTTTTCTCCAGGTTCTCTAGTTTCCTCCCAGAGTCCAAAAGCATGACTGTCAGGTTAATTGGTCTCTCTAAGTTGTCCGTAGGTGCGTGTGTTCATGGTTGTTTGTCCTGTCTGTCTCTGTGTTGCCTGTCCAGTGTGACCCGCCTCTCGCCCAGAACGTTAGCTGTAGAGGCACCAGCATCTCCTGACCCCATTAAGGGACAAGGGTGTTAGAAAATGGATGGATGGATAGATGGATAGATGGATGGATGGATGGATGGATATGATTAACATTAAAAATAGAATTTTACATTTGAGTGAAGTGTTTTTGGTTTAAACTCAGGTTGTGATGGTTTGTGTTAAAGTCCAGGACGTCACTGACCGCTTTCTCGATTTCATCCTTGTTGTCTTTCAGTGACAGCGTAGTCGAGATCTTCAGCTTCAGAACCGTAAGACGAGCTGGAAGAACAAGAGATCAACATGGTAGAAAGAACTACTTCCTGTTACTTTCAGTCCTGTTTTCATCTGACTTACATGGTTTAGGAGGAGGACTTGGAGTTGGTATGAAGGGAACTGGGATAACAGGAGAAACATCATGACTTCAGGAAATAAAAAAATAAGATAAAATCAATGATCAAAAGAATTGACTCACTGTTTGAAACCGTCACAATGACACATCGAAACTCAGACTGGTAGACAGAACTGTTCACACTGTGGAGATAATTTAGTGCAAAAACGTTAATATTAAACTCATTTTGAAATGGCCATTAAATAATATTCACTTTTTTAGTCCTTGTATAATTTTTTGAGTACTTTGAGTGTCTAATGTGTAAAAAAAATACATTTAATCTTTTCTGGTGCTGCATAGACATTATTTTTCAGTCTGTTAATTTTTATCTATTCATTATAACATTATTTCAGTTATGATGTCACCACATTTTCTGTGGAACAGATAAATAAGATAAGGTCATGACTTCCAGCTGATCAGTTTTGTAAATTCACCTTTGTTTTTTTTTTTGTTTTGTTTTTTTTACCTCAGAACATTTCTGTAGTCCAAGTTCAGTTATGCCAAAGTTTCAAATAAACAAGTCAAAACATTTGGTCTAGACTAGCGGTTCTCAACGTGGGCGGTACCGTTTAGAGGACGGCAGGGGGCGCTGGAGGAAATCTTTACAGAAGGGGGGCGGTGGGATTTTTTTGGGGGGGGGCGTTTGGTCGAAGGTAAACTTTAGTTCTTAAATCCACAACAATACCAGTTTAGACTTTGAGCAACTTGCTAAAACTGTATTGTGTAACATTAAATCATGTTTGGCTGCATCGATGGCAGCTCTTCTTCTTCTTCTTCTTCTTCTTCTTCTTCTTCTTCTTCTTCTTCTTCTTCTTCTTCTCTTCAGTGTTTGTAGCTTCTTGGCGCAGCTCCGCTCCTGCTAGTAGCTTCACCGCATCAGGTCAGCGTTACACAGGCTGATGACGGTGCTGTGATTCACTTTGTCTGGTGTCTCATTTTCAAATATTTTATGTTTTATCGAGTTTTGTTTATTTTATGTTTTGGCAGTGCTGTGATCATGTCAAAGCAGGAACTTATATTAAAAAGTGTTTTAATGTTCGTCTGGATGCTACATGCTTCCATGGAAGGAAAAATCACTCTTATAAACGTCACGATACCCTCAGTGTGTATCCCTCATTAAAATGAACCCATTTAAATAAAGAAACTCCTCCATAGGTGATACCACGATAGAGAGCGTTCATTTTATAGAGTTTACATCGGTTCTGTAAATGGTCCGGTGTGAAACGGCACAACAGCACTTTTCAATTTAAATCATCAGAATGCGGAGCTAAAAGGTTTACGTCAATCTGCTTTTCTCCATCGATACGCGCTTCCCGACCGCTCCGCGCCGCATGGGGTTAAAAAAAAGACGATGCGCAAGTCGCGCAAATTCTGAAACAGGAGAACCAGGACATGAACGGAGCAACAAACTACTAATCTATGAATCAGTAGACAGGTCTATATAAAGATATAATCCACGTTCATTCCATTATTTGTGTGGCATTAAAAGAATCTGGAACTTTTGTTTTTCCACTGAAAGCTCTGGTTTGCACAATAAATGCCATGTGGGTGAAATTTTATGGATGATACTCTGATGTCCCATTCTCCTGAAGGCAGCACAGAGCTGCACCACCAGAAACTGACAATCACTGAAGAGAAGAAGAGCTATGATTAATGTAGTTACAGTTCTATCCATGTTTGAATGTTGCAGAGCGCTGTCATTTTGCAAATAGTTCAAAGTTTAAACTGGCATGTTGTACATCTTTTATCTGATCATTTTGTGGAATATTTAACAACTAGAAAATGGCAAAGAATAAGAATATTTTTTTCCACTCTGATTGGCTGCTGTTAGGCCTACCAATTTTAACTTGAATGTTCATTGCATTTTTTGTAGACGCTTGTGAAAATAATTTCTATTCCCATGGCTTTTTTGTTCTCTGGGAAATTATTTTTGATAATCAATTTGACAAGCATAAAAATCAAAACATCTACAATAGTGATAGTAATTTTAATGATAAAATAATGGTCAGTGCAAAGTAGCCTACAAATTCTTTGGTGGGGGGCGGTGAGGGACCTGAATAAAGGCTAGGGGGGCGCTGGGCCAAAAAAGGTTAAAAAACACTGGGCTAAAGCTTTGTGTTAAT